CTCTTCCAATTCCCAGCATCTGGGCAGCTCTCCAGGCTCTGTCTCTTGGCCTCCTTCTCCGAGCAGACGTTTGTGTGCAACTTAATATTCTGCAATAGAGCCTCCTGCCTCTCTGTGGCCCCAGGATCCATCCCAGCGGCGCGTCTTCTCTTAGCCAGCTCCCAGCAGCCCTGCAATCCCAGCGGGCCGCCGGCAAGCACGCCCAGAATGCTGGGATCGAAAAGGGTCTTGCCTGCCCCATGCAGACATCAAGGCCCCAGCTCTCCAGAGCGACCCCGGATTCTGGGGACTTGCTGGGGTTCTACGTGAACCCTTACTGCTCCAGCGGAGACAGCGACAGCCGCAGGAGCCCAGTCCCTCTGATGCTCCGGCCCCAGGCATCTCTGCTCAGCTGCCAAGATGCGGGCCCGCTACCAGGCCCGTCCCTCCTGAGATCAGCTTCTGCCTAAGGAGAGCCCCGGCCCAGGGCCGCTCACACGCCAGCAGTTACTCAGACTGCAGCAGAAGGGTTAGTTTTATTCGGCTAAAATGTATATCCGAGGGGGAAATCTCAGCTCTGCAAATTCATCCCTCGGCTCTGCCTAGGCTCTCCAATCCGGAACTGGGATTAGAGTCGGAATCATTCCCTGTCTCCAACCCCCATGTGCTCCTTCCGAAGCAGCTGGGGTAATTTCATCTTGCTAAGCCTGGAGCGAAGGTTCCAGCACTACACACTGTTTGGGCTGCTGTTACTGTCAGAGCCCATGTTGCAGCTGCTTTCGGGCAGAGCCGGCAGCACATCCTGCACGGAGAGCAGACAGACGTTTGCTATGGAAGGCAGTCCACTGAGAAACCATTTCCCAGTTCTCAAGCACTTCCTCTAAACTCTCTGGCCTTGGCACGGGTGGGCCAAACACCCTCCTGGGTCCATCCAGGTCAGCACGGGGGTGTCTCTGTGTGCACTTGCGGTTCTGTGAGTGTGTGCCTGAGGGGAGAGGAGGCCGCTCACAGTCTAGGCTCTGTCGGCTGCATGGATAATTGGAGGCCCTCAGCCTTCACGACAGTCCGGCTGTTCTTAAGGACCCTGCAGCTGTGCTGGCCAGACTGATATGCACAGGGCCAAGTGCCAGCAAGCCCCCTCGGGGGGAGGTTCCAAACCAGCAGGGAAGAGCAAAGGGCAGGCTCAGCGACTGAAGAGCAGAAGGGGCTCACCGGCTCGTTGCTAATCCATCAGTAACACGCTGGCGGCAGCTGACGCTTAAGGGCATCGGCAGGAATCTGTTCCCTCCCCCAAGGCAGAGTGACAACAGCTAGGGGCCCTTTCTTCAGCCCAGAGCCCAGCTCCATTCCCGCCCTGCCTCCCTTGGGCCGTTTCTCCTGCCCCCAGTGAGACGTGCCTCGCAGCTGGGGGCAATGCAGAGCCTGGCTTTTCGGGGTGTTGCTCTGTTGGAACCAAGAGCTGGGCTTCCGAGGTCCCCTGGTACAGACTCACTGCAGGACCTCAGCCAAGTCACCTAGAGCACGCCTGTGCTGCAGGGATAACGCGGGTGATCGGCACCAGACCTGAGACCACCCCAGGGGCAGCTCCCCAGTGCAAAGCCCTCGCCCAGGTACTGTGTCCTCACTGGGGCTGCGCTTGCCGCACCGGGGCCCGGGAACACGGCCCATAGTTCCCGGGGCTGCAGGGAGCTGAGCACTGTGAATTATGGGAGAACTGGTCAGCCATTCTGCGCACATGGGAAGAACTGCGGGAAGGCGCTGGCGGCGTCTCAGCCTGTGTCCTCACTACAAAAGTGGGCAGGTTACCAACCTAAGCGAAAGCAGAACCCAGGCTCTAAAGTGAGCCTACCCCCAACAGGGCCAGCTAGCCCGGCTCAAGAGCGCCACAGAGCTCAAGGGGGAGGAGATGTGAATTTGGGATGTATTTTTCAGTCTGCAAAGGGACTCATCTTTGTCTCAATACTTTATGTACCAAGTGTGTGGTTGCCTAAGCCACTCCAGGCTACCTGGAATTCTCCTCCGAACCTCCTTTTGCAGGGGGAACCCTCAGCAGCCAGCTTGCTCCCGGAGAGATTAACCAAACCAATTCCTAGCCCTTGTGTGTGACAGGGGCTGGTGTGAAAGTGCCACTTTTATTCTTTGGGGGAGCTTTCGATAAATAAAATACAGCAGCCGCCAGCCCAAATTTTGCAACTAGAAACAAGACAAACGGGCTATGCTCAGTCTCTGCTCTGCTGGTCTCTCTCAGGAGCTGGCTATCGGACTGCAGAAAGAGACAGACACACAACAGCCAGACGATGCCAAGATGAACCCATGTTCAGAAGATACAGATATTTACGCTAGTGCCACAGCCTGTCATGAACATTTCAAAGCCTAATTAGTGACAAGTGAGTTCAGCTGCACTGCACACATGGCGCCAGGCCAGGGGGCTGACGCTGCGCCATGCTGCAGGGCCCGTGCCATGTGACTCCTGGAGGCTGTTGCTAGTGCATAGAAGTTCATTTTCACACCATGGTGCGCCCCTGAATTCCGTTTTGGTTCCCGCACCTCCATTCCAATGAGCGCACGCAGGGAACTGCGCATCAAAGAGCTGGAATCCAGCCACATTTCAGAAGAAGACAGCAGAACAGTGACAGTTTTCTGGCACCTTCAGGTGGTCTACAACTATCAATATTTATAGCCTGCTCCGCTAAGCTCATTAAGGATTAATGCCAAGGAATAAAGGAAGCCAGGGGAGTGGGAAGGTCCGTGTGTGTTAATAAATCCAGCTG